ACTGTACTTAAGTACATTTTTTAGATTGTACTTAAATTTGTACTTAAGTACTTTTTAAAAAGTACTTTAACAGCTCTGCACACACACACACACCAACCTACACCTTTTTAAACGTTCAAATGTGTGCTGATTTGAACTATAATAGGCTTTCCATCTGTGTGTAATAAATAGGCCTACGCTCGCAGAATTCCCATCTTTTCCTTCAGTCCCTGGAATACAGTACAAAATACCCATACTTTTGTTTTGGTTTTGTAATGCCTTGCCTTGCCAAGGCCAATGAACTGGATAAAAGGGCCAAAATCCCCCAAAGGTGAAGGCTGGCAATGTAGGAAAGGCGTGTGTTACAAAATCTGTTGTACAACACGGTCACATTCATTATGATCTAGAATCTAGATTTCTAGATCTAAATTTGTGGAGAAAAGACACGCAAGCTGCAGAGTCTGCCATCCACCGACCAACAACACAAGGCCACAAGGCACAAGGTAAGTGGCATGGTTGGTATTGCCAGTAGTATTGGTCTTGGAAATTGCCTTCCCGTTTACCGATTGTTTACATACAGAGACAGAAGTGATTGCAGCCGCTAAGGACGACTAGAATGTCAGGCTAGCCGTACTTAATATTGATGGCTGAATTGTAAATAAAAATTTTAGTTTGCAATGCCTAAATTTGTATTGGAAGGACTTCCCGTAACGAGCGACCACCCCATCAAACACAATAAAGTAAAAGAAGAGGCCTAACCCTACCCCTAACCCTACCCCTACCCCTAGCCCTCAATTCTGCTCTGTCTCATAGTGGTCGCTTGTTACGGAAGTCCTCCCAAACCTAGATTAGATCTCTAGATCTAGATCTACACAGCGCCGAATCAGCGGTCGTTTAGTTTCGCTGGGCCGTACGCCGCTAGGTCAGCGTGACCGGGGTCAGCTGCCGGTCAGTCTACCTGCGCTCACTCCACGCGCGGAGTTACATACCACGGCAATTTTACACAGTTTTGTTTCAACGCTCACGAATGAAAGCAGGGTTATCAATATATACACAGTGTTCCATCTTTGAGCTTCTTCTTTCAATGTACAGTTTGTGAAAACGCAACAAAGATATCTTGTATAGTTTTGTAACTGCATGCGATCAAATACAGCCGTCTTATATGTGGTAATTAATGTAATATACACTGAATTAAAAGTTATGTAACAACCAAAGAGCTCGAATAAATTCACTAAAACTGGCTCAGAA